TTTACTCTAAGAAAGATGGAAAAATTATTACACAAAAATATCAGAACCAAAAAAATATGATACTATGTTTTTCTCAGTGTAAACTTTTACCGTGGCAGAGCAATTGATAAATTTGGATGATAATTTTTTGGAAAATTTGGAAATTTCAAAGAATTATTTAAAGATTAAAGACAAAGTGATAAAAGAGAACTGAAATGAATCGTAGCAAGAAACATTACAGAATAAATAAACCAGTTGAGGTAAAAATAAGTGAGATAATTATGTGAAAAAAGATAAAATTAGTCATAAAATTAACAAGTGTAATGAACCTGTCATCCGTTCTCCAGATAACCTGCGGAAAAAATATTAAGTAGGATATAAAAGTAATCAACCGTGAGGAGCTGTCAAGATTCCCCTGATATCCCGTGGAGCGGAATAACTAACCTGTCAAAGATAATCCCCTCTTGACAATTTTCCCCAGATAACCTGAGGGAAAATAAATAACATGAAATAAGAATTTAAGATTCTTTCGAGAAAAAAAATATTCCGTGATATATTAGTTTATGATCCCATACTCTAAATCGAAACTTAATTTTCGTCGAAACTTACCATCTGAAACTTACCATCCAAAAATTTTTTTTCAATTTTTAATAAAAAAAATGTTTTTTCAAGATAAAATGTATTTGCAAGCAAAACTTAAAAAGAAAAAAATTTAAAAAAATTTTCTGAAACTTTACCTTCTGAAACTTACCATACCGATTTTTTGTAAGACATGATAGTCCTTACATATCACAAATCGTAGAAGTTAGCTAAGAAACGCAAGTATCGGCAAAATTGAGCTCAAAAAATTCGGGCGCCAAAAATTTTTCTGAAACTTACCATCTGAAACCTACCATCTTAATACATGGGAAACCTATTCCCTACCTTAATACATTGGAAATCTATTCCCTATCTTAAAACATAGCTTTGGAGACCGGATACTCTATTCCCTATCTTAATACATGGGGGTCTCCAACCACCCCCCCTGATCAGCTCACTCATATACTACTCACGAGTCTTTGTTGGCTTTCTAACTTTTGAAGGTGTAAGTTATTAGCTGTGCCATTGAGGACGATTATACTAAATTAAAATTTTGGTTGAGTATATATTGAGCAGTGTAGATGTGTTAAAATGACATCTGAGATGATAGATTTTCGAGCAAGGTTTGGCTGCTCTTTTCAAAATTTTATTGATGTGTGTTTTGAAGTTTAACTTTTCATCTATTATTATACCTAAGTATTTATATGATCTTTTGTTAGAGAAGTTCTTCCTGTTAAATTCTAATGTGGCTGTTTTATCCTTGTTTATGGTAGGCAAAAACCAAAATTCAACATTGCTTGTATCAGGGTTTAAATGCTGCCGATTTCCTGTTTAGTTTTGTATACAATGCACAGTCATCGACAAACAGTACAGCCTTATTATGCCTACAGACGTTTGGCAATTCGTTTATACACAGCAAAAACAACGAAGGACCCAGGACTGAGCCTTGTGGTACAGCGCAGAAGATTACGTTAGTTAAAACAATTCGTTATCAGAAACTAAAACAATGTTTACCTTTTTCAAGATATCACCTCAAAAGATTAACATTTTTACATCGTAAACCGTATAGTTTGCAATTTCCCTTATAATTTCGTGATCACCTGTGACGAACGCTTTTGCAAGATCTGTTAGCGTACACACGGAGCTAAAACTATCCTATAAGTTCTGCCCTATTCGTTCAGTGAGTTCTAATATAGCATCAATTGTGCTTTCTTTGTTCGGAATCCGTACTGACATGATGTTGATACATCTTGTTTATTCAGAAAACTTCTCAAGCAATTAATAATCAACTTTTCGAAAACTCCCTCTATAAGTGGTTGATTAGATATAGGTCTGAACTGACCACAATCTGACAATATGCCACTTTTATTATGAATTGGTTGAACTTCAGCAATCTTAAAAAATGAAGGATAATATGACAACTCTACACATTGATCAAAAAGGACCTCAATAGCTCATATATAACCAGACTAATTCTTTGATTAGGTTCTTTTTTTGGTTGTAACTATATAAGTTTTTTATTTCAGGCTTTTATTTACTTCATAAACTGTTTGGGGTGAAATGCTTTCAAAAAAATTGTATATTCATTCTCTAGAGCGTTTAAAAGTGTTTTGGTGTTGTATTTTTTTCGATTAGCTTCCAACCAATTTTAATCAAAAATTCGTAAACTTTTCTGCATTCAAGATGCTTTGTTTGAACTCACCTGTTCACCTTTTTTTTCTGATCCCACCTATGACTTTATACGAACTTTTATGGCTCTTGCTGTTAAGTCTATTCTCAAAGACAAATTTTTTTTATTTTTGATACAAGCTTTTCAGTTTTTATCCCGTTGTAGCTGGAATTTATCAAGATTACAATCGCTCTTGTTGTTCAAACAAATGTTGCACAGGTTATTCTTTTAAAGACTCTCAGTCATGAATTTAGCTGTTATCCAACTTTTCCATTTTTTATTGGATGGGAGCTTACGATTTAATTCCTCCCATTAGATTGGAAGGCTATTGAGACCAGTGTAAAGCAGTCATTCACTTCTTCAGTATCATTTTTGCACTTTTTTTTCAGTGGTCTGCCACAGCACAAAATTGAACTTCAACAAAGTCTGATGGTTACCCAAAACACTTCAGATATCTCAAATTTAAAAACCTTTAATTTCAAGCGAAGTTTTGTCTTCATTTTGAACTGGTGCTTCAATTTCTACCGCCTCGGGATCCAATATAGAGTTGTATTGGACCATGACTGCTCAATAAAAAATGTTGAATGGTTGATTTTCGTTATTCTAATACTTTCAAATTCCAATAAAATTAACCCAAACAGTAGTTGGCTGATTTCAAGATTTATAGAGTCACTTCTCGACTACACATCAACATTCATGCTCCACATACAGTGTGCATATCTCCAGGCTGCATTTTCAACTCGAACAGATAAGCCGGTAATTGATCAAGAAATTTAAAATTGTTCAATTTAAGTACTTTATTGACAATAGTTAGAAAATTCTTCTCTCCGCTGTTTTTGCATCAAACAGTCAAAATTTGCATTTCGTCTAAAGTGAGTTGTTTAATATAAAATCAAACAGCTTCGCGTATGTAGGAGGCAACAGCAACACCGCATCTGTTCCGATTCACCGTTTCTAACGCAATTTGAAAATACCAATACCCATATAATCTTTCAGCCATATTCCAGTAAGAGCAGAAATTTGCGGCTTATCAGTTTTAGTTTCAAGAAAAAACTCTAAGGTTTCATGATTTTGCGTTAAGAAGCGAATGTACCTTTTTGTAATTTCAACCAGCTTTGTTTTTCGTCGAAGTCATTTGATTAATAGGCTGCTGAGATTCGCCAATTGATTCGGGTAATATTTTTTCCTACTTAAGTAACTTTTGTTGATAATTTGAAAATTCATTTAATTCGTTTTTTATTTTGTTCAACCATAATTGCTCAATATCGCATTTATGGGTCGTGACCTAGCTCAGACACTTTTCAATCTGGTTGCTGAAAATTGCAACCAGGAAAGAATATTTACTTTCGGACGAGCTTAATTGTTGAAAATCGCAACTGCACTCAAAAATGCTAATTGAAAAAATCAACAAAAAAAGAAAACTAAGAAATGAGGTATCCGTCTTTTAGGAACTATGCGTCACTTGCAATTATTTTTTATTCTTATTTTTAGAAAAACAAAAAGAAAGAAAATTTTTTAAAAAAATTAAAAGAAAAAAGACAAGGAACTTAGAAAGTAGTTGCTGAGAATCTCAACTAGTCCCAACTTTGAGCATTCTTCACCCTTTTTGCCTTTTTTCTTGATTTTTTTTTCGTTTTTAAGACCATTCAATTGTTATTAAACCGAAGTTTAGCACCGTGTTTTTTTGCCGTGTTTTCGTATGTTCCTTATTTCAAACCATATGGAACAAAAAAGAAGAAGAACTCGTTGGCTTCTAAGCGAACGGTTGAAATTGAATTTGTCAATGGTTAAGGAAATTTTGCTCATTGACAGTTTTTTGGTGCGCGTTACCCCCTCAAATTTTAGCATATATTGGCATCCAAGACACCTTTTGAAAATTTTAGGGTCATTCTGCCCAAAAACGATATCTCAAAATATTACGAAGGGGGACTCTTTGGGTCGTCAAGGGTCGAATCCTTGAGGAATGGGGGAACTAAATCCTCTAGTGTACACGCACCAAACAGAGAGGAAAAGTTCGACCTCGTAATGTGGAATTTGAAATTTAATTCTTCTATATAACACATAAGTAACAGCTATAGACGAAACACACGAACATCATGAAAACTCCTTTCAAAACATGTTCAAAAATGCTTTAACAATGATAATTATTGTCAAAAAGTTCTTCTATCTTAAATTTTAGGCTCTATATCTCTAAAGTAGCTGCAGAGAAAATGACAACTAGCAACAAAATTATTCATTCACTTTAGAAAGCGCATTAAAGGAAATTAAAAACAAGTGCTAGGCTTGATAACCATGGGCGGATTTAAGGGGGGCTCCTCCCTCAGAGATTCGACCCCCTGCCGACCCAAGGGGTCCACTTTTGATACTTTTTAAGAAATCCATTTTGGCTGACCGACTCTAAAATTTTTTTTTACTTATCTCGGATCTACTTAACAATCCCCCCCTATGGTACCTACTTAAGAATCTCCACCCCTATAAATAAATACAGTAAATTACCACTGAGCTTTTTTTTTTGAGATTTCTAATTTTGCTGAACTCTGATTGGTCGAAAAATCGACCATTTTGATCTACTTGACAATCTCCCCCCTTTTAAGTAGATCCCGAATTCTGATTTGATTTGATTTGAGCTTAGTAACGAATCTCCCCCTTTTGTAAAAATAGACGTAAATAGTTAAAGAGATCCAAATGATGTAAGCCAGTGAATTAATTTGTTTTTTTTTTTTCATAATTTGACTATTTTGCCTTTGTTTGGCACTAGCTGTTAAATGTATACCTGTCTCGACACCGTCATCCAAACTCATGTCCGTCCCCGACCTAGAGGTGAATCTGGTGTCCGTCAGTTTCATAGCCACCAAACACCGGTTGAACTCAATTCTCCCCTTTTGGAAGTGTTTGTCGACGAAGCCCTTTAACATTCAAAATAACCAAACCGGTGACCGCTCGACTAGCATTAATCTCGACTAGCATAAAAATTTGAAAACATTAAAATAAATCGACTAGCAGAACTTTGATAGCTTTATTTCTCAGAATTAAAAAGCGACAAATGGAATCCTTTCAAACTATGGTAAAGGATTCAAAAGATTAGTTTCTGGTGTACTACGTGCTTTTCTGATAAATAGAAAAATGGGAAATTAAGCAATATCAACATAGGCAAATGAATTTCCATATCACATAAATTGTAACCCGCTGTAGAGTTTCAGGGATATTAATCGATTGTAATGGATTTCTAGCGATAAAAAATTGGACAAAATAATCGATCATAGATGACAATTTCATAACTTAAATCCATTTTAATGGATTGTATTCGTTTTTTTTTTCATATTAAAATAATCTATTATAATCCATTTTTTCTATTATAATCGATTTTTTCTCAACCAAATTTCAAGAAAACTATGACAAAGTAAAGATAAATTTTGAACTACAAATGAAATGAAAAAAAATGTGTTTTTTTTTCTGTCTGTTTCTTTTTGTTGTACTTCTGTTTACCCCTCTCCCCTTTCAGTTTACAGTTGAACCCCCACCCCCCAACTTCTTTACATTTGCAAATTGAACGGGGGGTGTGACTACTCAGAGTCAACTCCACCTCTTTACTCTCCCCACTCTCTCTTAATCTAACTTCTACCTATTTCCATTATTATCCATGAAAAAAGCAGTGCGGGGATTAGTCATACCCCGACTCAGAGGCGGATTTAGAGAGGGAGCGGGGGGCGTACGCTCCCCCTCCCCCTCAAGTACTCGACCCTCTGCTTTCCTGAAAATCCGCCTCCCCCTCGAGAAAATCCTAGATCCGTCCTGCCCCCTAAATCCTAGATCCGACCTGTAATGCCTTGAATCGAACCCCCCTTCCCCAGATAGACCAAGTTGATTTCTTCCACCCTAGAACATTTTAGTCAAATTAAATTTGCTAAGCGCTGCATTTAAAATGCTCGATTCTGATTGGCTGAAATTTCCCATTTCGCAACCAAATTAACGTTCAGGGGGGATGTTTATTTGGTCCAAACTGTGATTGATAAATGGTTTTTGGGATCTCTTTAACTATCTCCCCTCTTTTTGCAAAAGGGGGAGATTCGCTACTATATACAAAATTCGCATTTGCTTAACCGTTAAACTATTTCATTAGGGGTGAGAATTCGTTACTATGTACTGAAGCGGGTAAGTAGTTGAAGAGATCCGTTTTTGGTGTATAATGATTTGGTCTTTGTTTTACGGAGATAGTTGGCAACGAATTATTTGTTACGCATATGTGAATTCTGTACATAGTAACAATCTCTTCCTTCCAGATAGTTAACAAGATACAATGATAGTAATTTTGACAATATTTGGATTTTGTGTTAAGATTTTTATGCTAGCCGATACAATTTTCGTTTTAAAAACTTTTATGCTAAGCAAGTTTTGTGCTAGTCGATCTCGTACCGAGCAAATTGTTTGCTTCTGACCTGAAATACTTCATATCTAATCTAATTTCTGGTCAGAAACCTTTGTGAAATGCTTAAATAAAGCATGGATTTTCTTAAAATTCTCTTTTTCTCATCGTAATTTGATCAGAAATTAGCAAAATACAGGCAATTTTTATTTTAAAAAACTTCTCTTGATGGGGCTCGAACCCTTGACGGGGGAGGCTAACAACTATACTACAGTCTTTGATGCTCGGATATAGTTTTTGCAAAATAACACTTGTTATAACTCGGAGACCCACATTTTTTAATTTAGAACATCTAAGGAGTAGAACATCCAGTCTTTAGGCTATCTATTAACATAGGGTATAGATTCTACAATGTTTTAGGATTGGTAAAATTTCACGGTTTGTGTGATGGTAAGAGAATGGTAAGAAAAACGGTAACTTTTTTGATTTTGTGTACAAATGTCAAGTTTGTTTTGCAAAAAAATTGGCGCGCGTTATCTACCTGAAAAATATCACTGGTTAATTACGCGTTGTTTGTAGAATGATGGTTTTGTAATTAATTTTTTTGGTTCATGATAAGTCAGTGGTAAGAGTTTTTGGGGAAAAATTAAGATTTTTTATGAAAAAAATGAATATTTTTTAAAATAAAAACCTTCAAAACACGTTACGACTTGATATAAATTGACATATTAAACATTTAGTAAGTTTACTGCATTATTTTACTTTTAGAAAAAAAACTACACATTTGACATAAAATTATTTATAAAACTCAACACATGCACATCATGAATAATGTTCAAGTTTCTCTGGTAGAATTCAAAAAGAAGAAATGCTGAATAAATTAAAATTAAAATGGAATCCGAACAAATTATAATTTTTAATGTAGTTTTCTGGGAACCAATCGCCAATAATTTTTTGTTGGAGAGGAATAAGTTGTTCTGTTTCGACTCAAAGAATCAGCAACATAGTAAGTTTTGTCCAATCGAGCTATCAAGATCCAGTGTTACCCTCTATCATTGCTTGGAGCTGAGTTGACGATTGCAAAAGAATATTTTGTTAGTTGATGTACTTTATCAGAGGGGTAAGATCCCATGTACTTGAATCTGAGTTCAGTAATTTTTTCAATAATTTGCAGAAAAGAACTATTATCCACCTTTGCAATTGTTAGCTGATTTACATCTTAAAGCAAAGAAAGGGATTCTTTGATTGTGTACTTAAGAATAAAAAACTAAGATTAATGACTTACACTCAATTAGGTATTGAATCAACAAAGTCCCATACACAAACCTTATGAACTGGACAAGGGTTCTTGAACACTGTTTTACAGTCTACGTTGTAGTAACTTCTCGGGTTATCAATTAGACAGCAATCATTGTCTACTTTTTCTGGAGATTTAGGTCTGAAAAAAAATAGATAGTATAGAGACAATAACAATTAAAATTCCCAAAAAAATTACTGTATTTTTATAGGAACCTGAAAAATCGAAAAATTCAGCATTTGAACTTTTGATAGTCTTTCTCCCTAGACTATCACTTCGGTTACTTGCTCCAAGGAAAACTGAAATAATATTTCTAATCTCAAGCTTTCTTCATTAAGTTCTGGATAATGCAACATTTCATCTGCATCCTGTAGTGAAGTTAAGTCAAAACCAAGATTAAAGCAATTTTGAAATTTTTCCATAAGAGAAGCTGGGAAATCTTCATTAAGCCGCATTGCTTTCATTGTTGTATTATAAGGGGACAAGGAGAAGTTTTATGTAAAAACAATTGCTACCTTTCCCAAATAATTCTGAATTCTTTCAAAAGGAATTCGGCAACAGCTGAATTTTGACTCATTGCAACAGCTATTCTTCTTAAAGAAGCGTTAACGAAAAAATTTTCTTGATGAATTGGGTTTGACGAGGTGGAATGATAAAGGTTCTTGGTATGGTTTCCATGTTATTGTTTTGAGCAGATTGTTTTTACTAATTCCATTGAAAGTATTGATGATTAGGTTCAGCAACTAAAATTCGTCTAGTAAGCAGCGAAAAATTATTAATTTTCAGACCAACCTTTAGATTATCAGAAAGAATATAAAAATTAGGTCTAGCTCGAATTATTTCAATTGAAGCTTTGGTGTTTGGCAGCAAAAATTTTTCGTACACAAATAAAAAATTTATCCCAGCTACCAAGGAGTTTGCTCTATCAGTGATTGGAAGCATATCAAATGCATCAGGAAATTCTTCAAAGCTGTATCCATGGCAAGCAAATGTTCCTTTTTTACTCACTGCCCACGAGTTGAATGTGTTCGATTTTTGTGCCCTATGAGATTATAATCCATTGGCGTTGTAAACTATTGTATTTTTAAAAAAAACTTCACAATTGGGGAACAGTGAATGTAGTAGATTGCTTACATAAGTTAAGTAAGGTTCTGGTTTCTCATCTGAATCATCCTCGAAATTTGCTTTATGTTCTGCTTTTTATCTTCTGAAGGCATAAAACAACCTTCCCTTGAATAATTGAAACCTTAAACTAAGATGGGTATCATGCATATTCAAGTAGAGATTACGATCCGTTTCATATTCAAACTCAATACTGCTTTCATCTAGAGAAGTATTGAGGAATACATTTTCTGTAGGATGACATAATTGTTTTTCGAAACTGGGACTTTATCAAAAACCTCATACGAAAAGTTTGTAAAATTTCGGTTCTGAATATGATTACTTTGGTTTCTACTCATTTTATATTGTCAAAAATGCCTTTGCGAGAGCAACTGGTTTTTTCAATCTACTTTTTCAAAAAATGGATATAGTTCTACTAGTTCTACGCATAGATTTTTTTCTCTGACTCCCAATTGCTTCGGAATTGTTTTTGTTTCCACATCTTTTGTAAATGGTTTGAGTTTTTTGCGTCCACTAACAACTTCTCCAACCTCTGGAGCACCAATTTCAAACAAATGTGCTCCAATTCATTTTAAAGCTGGGACTATATATATTTTAATAAAGGGATTGCAGTTCTCCCAAGAGTTTGCGCAAGAGCACCAAAGCTTCTTCCACGTTTTCTTGCTCTTTATCGGAAAATGGGGAAATCAGCTGAAGTTTCATCAAGCTTTTCGTATGAAATATTAATCAGAAAAGATTACTCGAAATCTTGCGGAACAAAAGAACACCTCGTGTAATTTCTATGGACACAAAAGGATTTTTTTCGCCTCTGCTATCTCTTAGTTTTATCTTGATACTATAGAATGAATTTTTAACAGTTTTTCAAACTGTAAATTTGTAAAGGACTGATAGTTCAACGACAGTCGTTTAGATTTTATATGTCCACTTTTTACTTTGGAGATGAAATGAAAATAACGCAAAAAAGGAGTTTTTGTATCACCGACTATTTTATATTCTATATTATCACTACATATTATCAAGTAACGTGTTCATACATTGTCGTAAGAAAACTGAGGATAATGCGGTCTTTTTGCACTACTTATAACCCCCTGTTTTTTTTCTAAGTCACAACCAAAAATGTGACA